AGACCTATTATGTTCAATGCTACTTCAAGTATGTTATAGTTATGTAAATAAAAATGATAGACTATTAGTATTTCTGATAAAAATAAAACATGGCTTAACATTTTCAGCAATTGGTGTTTTATTTTATGTACACTGTACTCCAGTGATTAGAATTTTTTTCAGTGTTTAGAAATATTAAGCATAAAAAGAAAAAGAAATTATTTTTTGGCTTAGCAAAAATTCAATCCAAGAAATTTTATCTGATGGATTTAAAAAATGATATTCTAATATCTGCTGTATTACAGATTGTACTGAAATAAAAGCTGATTAACCCCCACAGTTAAAAAATAATGTATATGTATTCAAGGTACAAAGGCTGTTATACTGTAAAATATTTAGCTGTTATCACCTTATTTCAAAATGTTATGGAGGAAAAGCTAATGACTGGTTTATCAGCAATAACTCTGGCCTTTTATTCGAATTGGAACAAATTGGATCAAGTATTATCTGATAAGATTTCCCAGGTATCAAAACCGATTGTGAAAATAAAAATTCAATATTAGTTATGTCTCCTATATCATTACCATCTCTTGCTCAGTCGATTGCTCAGTTAATTTTCCTACTAGAATTATTATAGGTGAAGTTGTAAATCAAATCATTTTTTCTTAAATAAATTGTACTCATACACACACAAATAAAGACATACATTATTGTAAAGGGACTCCACTCAGAATCTAAAATCATAGGTATTAAGGTACATGTAATAATTAAAAATTATTATTTTGACGTGTGCCAATACTACAGTAATTTGTAGGTATTATACTAGTGTCTGCCAACTGTACTTTCGTTGAGGCGATGTCAGTGTTCGTTTAGCACTTTTATAAATGTAAGAACAAATAGTATTCGAGATTTGGTAGAGGGGCTGAAATCTGGGATCTCAGAATTTTTTGGAGCAATAACCACTTAAATACTGTTCTCGCTTTGCTCCTTTTAAAATGTAAACACATTTACAGTTACAGATCGTAATATTTGGTTGCCTATTTAAAATCCCTTAAAAAGTTTAAACCATATTCTATCACCACGTTACACTACTTGATGGCGTTAGTGTCACTTAAAATACCGGAATTATACGGTCCGCAACAATACGGTTTTTGTGTTTATTTTTCCGGATTTCTACAGTCCGGGATTATGCGGTTATTAGTTACTTTCCGGATTTATACAATCCGGAAAATACAGTTCGCCTGTATACGATTCCGGAATTCTACGGTCCGTGAGATTACTTTCCAGGATTATACATGCGTCCTTTTTAAATAAGTAATCATTTTTCTAAATTATAATTTATACATACTAATACTTTTATAGCTTTTTTCCAGTTTTGGAAAGGTGTTAAAATACGACTGCTCAAGCGTTGTTTTCCAATACCATAAATAAAAACGAAAACCATACAGTGCTTACAAAAAGTCTTAAAATTTCCCTGAATAGCGTAGCCACGGAAATGTTTTCAACCATTTGTACTGAAATCTTAGTTCTCTATTTTTTTTTTTTTTATTCATAAATTTAATAGAGGAAATTTGTAATTCTCTGATGGTACCCATAAGTCACTTAATATTTAATAAAAATGAATTGAATATTTGCATTCAATAACTTTGTATTTATAAATAGTTATATACATAATTGTTTTGCTTTTAGTATTTTATTTTGTTAGTCACTATAAAAAGGTTCTAATAAACTTACTATGTTTTTTTTACTCTTCGACAAACTGCGATTAAATAAATAAACCTATATCATTATGTATAGCCTATTATGTTTATACCTATAGTATTATGTATTTGCCGTAAGCTATAATTTACCTTAAATTAGAAAAAAAAAACATGTCCATTAAATAAGCGGATAGGTTAAAATAATTATAATTGCTGTAATAATTTTACTTTATACTAATAATGCAAATTGCAGTGTTTCATTGTACTAACGACTAACCTGATATGTACTAGAGGTTGAGCACAATTCAAATATTTCTTTATTGTCCCTTTTTGATTTTAGTCGGAGGTGACATTTTTTCTCCCGTATTGCTTTTGGCATTCATTTTTTACAGTAAATAGTTTTTGATATCACTCATATTAATTATTTAAATATAAAATCAAGTTTAACTTGGCACTACACAAATGACAATATTAAATATGAGTTCGATTATCGTGTCAGCAATAGCTTTTTCAACAATAAATATGTCATAAATTATGGTTAAATAATTACATATTATGGATTTTATATTTTTTTATTTGTTTAATATTGTACTTATTTTCCCGTTTTTCTTCTGTTTTTTCCCGGTTTTCTAATCAAAAAATGACCTCTTTAATGCACTAACTAAATAAAATTTCCCTCCAGAAAAAGTACTACACACTATAGTCTATACATCGTAGCAAGATTTCTTTTTGAAATATTGTTTACAGATACAAAAAAAAAAAAAAAATTACACATTACAGTAAAACCAATAGATCCCTCACTACGATCCGAATTTAAAACATAACATCTCATCTAATGTAGTTATTTAGTGTAGTTAAAAAAAGTAGTCAAAAATGTTGTAGCAAGCTCTTAAGTAGGATTAATGAAATAAATTATAACTGTATTCAAAATTTTCAAAATAATTTGAGTATTTTAGAAACTAAAGTTGATTAAGAAAAATTTTTAATTTTGGCAATGTCAATAATGAAACTTGTGAAAACTAATCATCGAAAAATCCAATATCTAACAAGCAGTAAAATATTTTTTACTCACTTTTCATGGAAAAATACCTATATTTTCTATAGTGCTTATGTCAATCACAAGTAAACGTTTAAGTATTATTGCTGTTAACTATATGAAAAATTATAATGTAGGTAGTCCTAAAGAGAATCGTGGAGCAAATAGTTTGAGTTTGCAAGATGAACAAATCACAACTTCAATTATTAATTATACTCAAAACTTCAAAGTCAAAAGAGCTACTATTTTAGAACTGGCACAGAAAGTTCTTATCAACTACCTTGAGTAACCATAAACTTAATGTGTAACCACTGGAAAAATGAAATGATTAAAAACAATCAAAAGTTCTCTTCTTTGAGTAAGTATTATTCAATATTTATCACAAAATTTAACTTGGGGTTTGGATGTACAGTTTCGATATTTAGAAGACAAAATAAAAAAAATGGACATATTTCTCACGATGGGTACAGCCACTATTGTTGGTGAGAAGTTGGGAAGGTAGGATATAGAGGGCATGAAATTGTATCTGTAAGCAACGATACATCATTGCTTACTAAAAACGATTCTGAGCAGAGTTCAGTTCATAGTGATGCTTTGTCAACAATATATATGTCATATTATGGTCAAATAATTAAATAGGCATTTTGTAATTTCTTTAATAATATCTGTTTAATATTGTACCTATGTTCCTGTTTTTCTACGTTTTTCACATTTGCTAGGAAAACTTTAGGGAGAATCGAAAAATGACCTCCCCTACGTATCTTCCTAGTCAGATTTACTTTCAGAGAAAGTAGTATCATTGTAAATCGGAGCGAAATGTCTGGTAGAAATGTTGTTCACAAATAAGAAAAATAATTATTTTACGCATAATTGTTGCGAGACAGAAAGTGGGAGAAGCCCAAACGAAGTTGCCTCTGCACTTCTTAAAGTGAAATTATTGATAATTGACTTCAAACACAAAGAAAAAAAACACATAGTAACCCTATAGATCTCTCACGACACTCCGGTTCTAAAATGATTTTTTTACTCATCAACTAATCCTTTTTTTCAATATTGAAAAAATTATAAATTTCATAGTTACAAAATAAATATATAAAGATATACTCGTACATATTAATTTTGAATAATGGCATTTAAGTCCAAATTTTTTTGTATAAGTTAAACGATAAACAGTTATATATTTATTGTCTTTCTAGATATTTTCCAATTATACAAACTTATTCGTTGTTTCTTATCTTTTTAAATTGATGATCCTACTATACATCGAATTAATCTTTAAAACAGTTTCACTTTGAATTCAAATAATTATGTCGATTACTTGGTGTATATATGAATGGGTAGTATAAAATTGAATATTACCCGGGTTATATTTGTGGACAATTTTCGTTGCATTTTGTGTACTGTGTAAATTCACGTATGGAATATGAAATAAACGTTATTTGAAAATATTATGATTTTTAATGTGGGCAAACGAGTGGTCGATTTGCTGGTAAAACATTTTATAGGTATTCAAACGTGTTGCATCGACCTACTGGCTACTAGTCGTAATAATAAGGAATCAAATATTAAATGTATTCTAAAGCGAATTTGAATATTTATTTTTTCAAACATTTTATTAACATTGCTTTTACGTAACCCTCTAAATGCTGGCTTGTGGCATTTACTTATAAAGCACACATATTGCAAAAAAAAATTACGAATCGGCCGTTTGGTCTGTTGTCATGGTCGAGGTCTTCAGTTGTTATCGTGTGTGGTGTATGTTAGGTTGCCTAACGGCCCGAATAACGGACCTACTTCTTTAGGTTTCCTCGCATGAACACGCGGTTACAGCGTGTTATTGTTATTGTTTTTATCAACTAGTCTTATCAATTTAAACATTTATCACGACCTCAAAAGTCAAAAGTATAGCGAGCTATAGTGAATAAATAGAGCTTAAACAAGTACCTAAATTGAAAAGATTGATATTATTTCATATACACGTATTAGAATTAACGAATTCAAGACGATAACTTTCGGTGGTTGTATGAATAAAATAACAACGTCCACGAAGACTTTTTAAAGTTCAAACTAAGGTGAACGGTTTTACAGTTTAGTTTTTAATTTGTTTCGATAAAAGCGTAGATAGATTAAAATATCAAATATTAATGGGAAACAATTTTTAAGACGGCCGTACGGGGCGACTCCACCCTACGTTAAATTTTAAGTGGAAAAAATAACCGCGCATCACGTCGCACACGGACGCACGGCAATACTACACGGGCATACGTAATACATGCAACATTTACGGTAAATTGAGTTTTTATTGTACACTATAAAATAGTTTGTATAATTTATTAATATCCTTAATCGTAATAATAATGTACAATATAGATTATAGACATAATATTATACTATAATAATGTATAGTTTATATAATAATGATATCAAACTAGTTGAAGGGGGGGAGGGGAAAAAAATTACAACATAGTCGAACGAAAAATTACCGATTCTAGATCGTACAGAATAATAATAGTAATAATATACGTCATGTTAATAATATAATAATTATGTATAAATATAGTTTTTTTTTTCTTCAATAAGAATAATAATATACAACTCAATAATTATCTAAAAATTAGATTTTTTTTTTTTTTTTATAATATATAATATGTTATGTAACTATATATAAACAAAATTGTATAAATTTCATTGCCGTACGGTTATTAATAATGTACAATGTTACAACGTATTATGAAATTATATTTTGTTTTAGGACACATCGTTTAATGATTTATACAAAATACTTTTTTTTTTTATTTTTTTTTTTCTGTTTTTCTTATCATTTATTCGAATATTTACACGATAACGTCGAGTATGTACGACCCGAAACGCGAAAACAACCCCCGCCCCCCGTGAACGCCGCGCGCACCCAATCAAACGGACGTTACCGCAGTCGACCAACGATCTTCCGGCGCGTCTTTTTTAGCGCTACATAGGCGACCGCCCGCGTACAGTTACGTCGGTATTACTTGGTGTTGCGTAAATATCCGGCGAATCGGTCAGACCGGTTCCCACCGCAATGGGAACGCCGCAATATTGTCGAACGCGTACAATGCGATTTCGTCGAACCGTTACGTTAAACCGCATAATATAAATCGGAACGTTTTTAAATTAATAATATTGTACAATTTTCTTTAATTTTTTTTTTTTTTTTTTTCGGAATACGCTGATGGACAATATCATCAATATAACAATAATTACTCGGGTATTCGCTGGGTATGAAGTATTATTTTTACCATACAGAACAAAAAAAAAAAAAAAATAAAAAAAAATATCGTTACGCGACGAACCGAAAGCCATAACATAACATACAATATACTTTACGGAAACATTAACCCGTACATGTTTTTTTTTTTTTTTTTTTTGGTTTTTTTTTTGTTTTTATTTTTTTTTTTTTTTTTTTTNGTGTGGGGGGAAACAATAAAAAATGCGCGGACGAACACCCGAAATATTTACGCACGACTTGGCGGCGGCGGACGGTCGGAACGTCTATCGGACGGTGTCGAACTGATCGAAATCATTTTTAAAATTTACAATAATATTATTTGGTTTAATCGCGTGAAAAATATCATATTTACATGTAGCCCCGTCGTGACGATTTGACGACGGCGTGCGATCTACGAAGAAACGGTTGCACGTTTAAAAAAAAAAAAAAAATAAAAAAAAATATCGTTACGCGACGAACCGAAAGCCATAACATAACATACAATATACTTTACGGAAACATTAACCCGTACATGTTTTTTTTTTTTTTTTTATTGGTTTTTTTTTAGTTTTTAATTATTGCTTTTTTGTTTTTCTCCTTTTGCATCGCCTACCGCCTTCCTTCGTCTTTCGGAACATCGAATTTACCGGTATCGTTGAAATAACAGATTTTTTCGCGTGCACACAGGCTCGCGAAATGCCCGTCGGTATTTAATTATATCAGCTGATTGCTGCACGATGACTCCGGGATGCATATTGGGAATACTATCGCGTCTGTATACAGTATGGCCGGCGGCTCGACAAAAACACAAACTATCTTAATCGTATCATACAAGTTGAACGAACCGCAAAAAAATGAAACGGCAATCGGCTGAAAATTCGTCACGCCACGTTGAAACCGACGTTAAGGTTCGGAAAAATATAGTTTGACGGCGGAGCGTTGCGAACAAAAAAAAAAAAAATGCCCGATACGACGGCGCGAGTTTATCAAAGTTAACAAGCTAAAAAGAGATCATTGAAGATTTACACATGTTAATAATATAATATAAACGCAGTGAAACCTCTAGACCGCTGTATATTATCGTACAATATCAGTCACTAACGCGGCTGCTACGAAAATAATATAAGCTTCATAATAGGGCCGGGTCGTGACTGCACCCGGTGCAGTCGTATTATCTTACAGACTACAATAATATATTACAACTGCACAGACCCATCTGCACGGTATTTAGTCTCGGAAAAATATCGGTTCATTTATCGTCGCCGAAGTTCTCGATGCGAGATGGATGGGAAATTGAATGGTGCGGCAACGCGCGAAAGAGACTCGGGTACGATTTACAATTTTTTTAGTAAAACTACTTTATTAACACGTCCGTTATAGTAAAACGAACAGTTACGATTTTCTATAGGCGTGCGCCTAACAAGGAGTGTTGCGTAGGCGTAACAACCTCAACAAAAATTAAACATAATTACAATAAACAAAACGTACGGTCGTCGAAGTGATCCCCGTCCACCGGGACAAAGAATAACGTCCGCTCGAAACGCGTCAACAACCCGTTAATCATTATGGAAAGTAAACCAAAATTATTCTGTGCGCCGTTGATAGGGAATATCGATTTATTTTCCTATTACAAAACAAAACATTATAGTATTGTATTACACCGCGTGCTCTCGAGGATCGCCCCGATACGGCGAACGTCGAGTTGCTTGGAGAAAAAAAAAAAGAAAAAGGGGAAAAATTATACTTAAACAAAAAGTATCTGCGGATTCGTAGTACTAGTAAGCGCGTATATTATACAAGAGGGAGACCACCGAATCAACGTCCGAGAACTTAGAGATAGGTTAAAATGAACAAAAAAAAAAAAAAATGAAACCTATCCACCGCCGCGTTTTCGCGCGTAATCCGGGGGCGTTTTGTTCGAATATCGTAATAACAATAGGTAGGCAGGTAGGCGGGCAGGCAGGCATTTAATAGTCGTGCGTATAGAGGTTTCACTGTATAATAATACGTGCCGGCGATAACATATGTACACGCATGAATAAAACGTTTTCGACGCGAACCGTATCCGTTCGGCAGTCGGCACGGTTCGCGCGTCCAACACAACACATTACGGGAATCTAAACGGAATCGCGCGTAAACAACGCAATACGATATTATGTTATCATACAATATTATAATATCATTATACGCGTCGACAATAATAATAATAATAATAATAATAATAATAATAATAATAATTATAATCTTAAACGCTATTTTCTCCGACCGGACGTCGGGAGACGGGAGCGCGCCCGCACCGCGAGAACGTGCGAAAATTACTACAACACGGGATTACGCACGCCGCGGACGGGCGCGCGATTTCGGTGTCGTGGGGCGCGGCACGGCGCGACGACGGATTTCTGCGGCTTCGGGAGTCCGGGCGTCCGGCGGAGACGCGCGCGGCGAAGACCGGGAGAAAGAAAAGAAAACGGCGGCCGTCGGGCGGGTCTGGCGGACGGCGAGCAGCGGCTCGCGGCGCCCCTTGTCGTCGGGTGCAATTATTACTTGCGTTCCCAGCTCGTCGAGTTGTAGAACCAGGACGGGTCTTCCCGTTTCACCCAGGCCGAGTCCGAACCGTTCTCCTGCGGCAAAGAAAACTGTAAATATTAATATAATATGAATTAGATACAGATAGTCACGTACGTAATATTATTATCTAATGCGTATGTTTTTTTTTTTAATTTTTAATACGGACCTTATCACGCGAACCGGAGATTTTCCCGGAGCATTCGATCGTTTATGTTCCGAATTTTCAACGATATTTTCAATCTTACGCCTCTTTCACTCCCCCTCGTACCCGAAACGCGTTTATATACATTTTGGGTTTTCAAGTAGCGACCCATTTACAGATTCAAATAGCGGATACATGTTGTGTTTCTACAAGGTTTGCTAGGCGTGACCAGTAGCGTGTGCAGGGAGGGAGGTTAGGAGCTATTCCCCCCCCATTGGCTTAAAATGCAAACAAATAATGAGTAATCTAATATCGAAATGCATTTATTTCAGTCGAGTTACGAGGAAAAACTTGACATATTTTTCAGAAACTGGCCTCTTTTAGGATTCGGCTTTTAAATTACCGATTCCCACAGTCAATTTGGGTAGAGAAGACGAATTTATGATTTATTCGTGATTCTCGTTTGCTACATCCCCTCCAATTGATACTTACTTCCTGGGCACGCCACTGGGCGTAACACTATAATACCGAATTCACCGTTTACGAGTTATCTAACAGCGTAAAGTGTAGACCGGAGAATCATATTACAGGCTATGACGAATTCATCGTCTAAAAATGGATACGAAATCGAATTCATTTAAAATAGTTTATCACTCTGTACATGCATAAATAGGGGATATTTTTTTTTTAAATATCTGTTAACGTAAACCTTATACATGTTACGGTTACAATAGGGGAAAATGTGAACAATTCGATTCGAGCGATATAAAGGGTTTACATCGCATGTGCTCAAATAGGACGCAGGGGCGTAATTTGTGGGACGCGAGGGTGTGCAGAAAATACATCCCGTAATTTGTTAAACATACACGCACACTCACACACACACACACACACACACACTCACACACACACATACACATTGATAATCGAAAAATATATAAAATATATTTCGTATACGTGTTCAAACTCGATCGTTAAACTAGGTATATTAAACAATAACGAAATGGACGTCAACTTACAGCAGTTTGATGAGAAGGCATTGTCGGCGGCGGCATGTAGTCGATGTTTGAGTAGTAACCACCGTAGTTCTGGTGATGGTGAGCAGTCGAGTGATGGTGGTGCGGATGGTGATGATGTGTTTGGTGATGATGGTGATGGGACGAGTAGCAACTTCCACCGGTGCTACCGTTCGTCGAATAGCCTCCGCTGGAGCTCACGGGAGACGACCTGTTGTTGTGGTGATGCAAATCCACCAAGCCCGACGGTGGTTCCGTAATGGCTGGACTCCATATTGATCCCGACGTGTTGTTTCCGCCACCTGTGCAATTGAGTCGTTATTATACACGCGCGTGAAATGCGGAAATGCCGTAGAGTGAAGGAAAGCGATACAAAGACGAACATCGCAGCAGTTTCCGTTGCCGCGATTTGAACAGTTTAAATTGCAGATTAAATCATAATATTACGGCGCAAGCAGAATGAAGCGATAAATTGTAAAGGAAATTGTGTTGGATTGTGTGGGATGGACAATTTCGGAACGATAGCGCGTGTTGTCGGCCCCGTGCGGATGGGAGGGAAGGTCCGGTCGGCGTATAAGATACACGCAGTGGCGGCTCGTGATTCACGTAAATGGTGAACAGCGCCTCGCGGACCACTCGCCTTATCTGCAGGCGACGGTCTCGCCACTGATGAGATATCGCCAGGAAGGTTAGCGAGGCCGGTGGCGCCGATGATATAAGGAACGCGCGCCGGGGGTTCCACCCGGCTCGGTGGCGATTGCGGATGGGGAAAAAAAAGTATAGGTTAACGACGCGCATTACGTGTCGGGGTTGTATTTATGTACGGGGTGTTTGGTACGCTTACCGGAACTCGGGAGGTACACGGACGGCGGCGGTTGTATGGGCGGCGTGCCGCTGAGTATCGGCTTGATGTACGACGTGACGCCGCCGGGAGGTGACTGCCGGCTGGACGACAGCGACGTGCCGGTCGAGACGGGCGAGTTGCCGGCCGTGGAGCTGGTGACGCCCCCGGTACCGCCGCCGTTGATGGTGGGCGACATTTTGTTGTTGTTGTTGACCGGCCCGTTACCCCCGACACCGGAGGATTTTCCAGACGATTTCGAACCGTTGTTGCCGTTCGCGTTGTTGTTCCGGGCGGACGTCTTGTCCGTTCCGGTGCCGTTGTGGTGCTGCTGCTGGTTCTGTTTCACCTGTTGCCGACACTTGGCCCGCCGGTTCTTGAACCAAACCTATACGTGCACACAATAATGACATTTCCGTGAAAACAAGTTTGCTTTTGAATTCGATTTTTTCGGAGGAATATCTAAGAGCACATGATCATATTTTGTATAATACAATGTGCATTGTATATTGTGCTGGCCCGGCATCAAAATACAAGAAAAATAAAACGAAAGTAATAATAACTAAAACAACGATACAAAGTCAAATTTAAAAATGTCGGGGTAAATGAGTAATTTACCATTAGCGTTACGCGGCGTAAAGGAGAACAATTTCGTTGACATTTAGTGGATGCAATAGGAATGGAAAAAGGAAAACGAGATCTCGTGAGACGGGATGGAACCCTAAAACTGATAAGGGAAAGAAATGTATGAGAGCGAGTTTGATAGGCAACGATCTCAGACATGAATATCAGACCAGAAGTCTGCCGGCGGTCCGACAGGGAGGGCAAATCTATACAGAGGACAGTCAATTGGCGTAACGGGCGAATCTTAAGAATTTGCGCTGAACTCGTTCAGTTGTAATATTATATAAATTACATAAATATGCATTCGATTGATTTTATGCGTTGCCCTTTTTTCTCACACTGTTCATTTTTTTTCGGTTAATTCGTTTAAATTTGACCGGTTTTTTATGCAAAATGCCAAGTCGAAAGAAAAATAATGACGAGTTTGTTTTTCCGAAATTCGATTAGGTATAATATGTATTGAAATTTATAATCGGTTATTTTTACGGTTTCAAGAGTAACTATTATGTATGCGACTGTAAACATAAGCGAATATTTTTAACGTTTTTAGCGAAATAAAAATAAAAAGCTTTTTTTCACTATAAGTAGAGTAAACATTTGCTTGAGCATTTACCCATTGCATTTATATTTTATAGAGCAATCTCTGAATTTTGAAAAAAAAAACCATTATTTTGATTTAAAACGTCATATACGAGTAAAATTATTGCGTTTCACATTATTTGAGTTATAATCCCTCAACATACTGTATAATGTCGGCGTACACAGTATAAGTACCTACTTTATTAGCGTCGGTTATTTTGTATACATTTATTGATCCATAAGTCAAAATATAAAATTTAAATTTAAAGCATTTTTGTTAACCTAAAGTTGATTTGTTTGTTTAACGTATTTAAGCCGATATTTTCCAATTAACTTGCCATCGTGCACCTTTGTGTACATAATATTTACAATGCATAATATTGAAACGATACCATCGACCTGTACAACTGACGTGCGAGTGTGTTTTTGTTAAACATATGTTTTATTTCGTTTTTTATAACCGTTATGTCCACAGTCGGTGGGATGGGGGAGGGCAGATTATCGTGCAATACGTAAAGGCACGTATTATCATATCAATTTCGTGGAGTTGGCCACGAAGCCGTACATCGAGGCCACTCGATGGACGTTTACACACACACACACACACACACATGCACACACGTGAATACGTGTAACGATCGATGTCCGTCAAAACCTTTGGCCTCCGCTTCTATACATACCTACTCACTTACTCGTCCCGCGGTTGTATCTATCGATTTTATTACATCCGTCAACCCAATTCCATTTTTGTCGAGTATGGTTTTTTCACATGTATTATATACATAACATATTTATCATTATTTTATATTATTTGTTGTTCTTTATTATACAAATATTATAAATGGGGTAATTTGTTTGGACATTCACGTTGAAATTACTGAACGGATCAAGCCGAAACTTTGCATATGTTTGATATGTTTAATTCTAGACTATAAATAATATATATAAACTACAGCTCCCCCTCCTCCGAATTTAACCTCTAAAGGGGTGGGGGGGCAACACTTTTGGTACTGTTGGTACGAAAATCGAATTTCTTTCGTTGATTTACTTTAGTGATACGGATGAGTTAAAATGATGAGTACTGTTGCAAATCAATACATCCTTAAAATTTATCGAGTTTGTTCATACCAGGCATAATACTCGTTTTATAGTTTCTCGCCCGTCCTGGCAGGTTAAAATCGAATGTCCCGAATCTGAATACGCCTGTACGAGGCAACCGAAATCCAGCCGTTTATATTTGCAAAAACCAGCCGAGGTCACAGACGACGAGCGGAGCGTTTTGGCGTTTGGCGCGCACAGGGAGAGGTTTTTATTCTCGCCCCATTCACTGAAAATTATAGAGTTTTTTTTTTGGTTTTTTTTTTTTAATCTTGAAATTATAATATTTCGGTCGATTTGCCGCGAAGAAAAAAAAAAAGCTCGATTTATCGAATACAAAGCGACCGTTTTTGATCCGGGTTTTTATATCGGATCCATCGTTGCAGTCGAGTTCGCGGGTATTATATTATAATAACCCGATTTCGTTGAAAATTCCCGGGCACGTCATCCGCGCGCGGGTATGGAAATTCGTACTATTGTCGTTTCGGTGACGGCGTATTATATTATAACACCGATTATTATTATTAATCGTTGCC